TATATTATGATAGAAAGAAGATTAGTACTTGGCTTATTTTTTTTTAAATATATTGTTATATATTGTTCCTATTTTTATGTACAGATTAATAAACAATCAAGTACGAAGTATTCACTAATAGGTAGTTTTTGATATGAAAAATACTTTATTTTAATTTGGCGTTACGGTAATGTTATGTTATTTGTAATAATGTTTTAGATAGTCATCTATAATAAATTTACAATAACGTATACAAATAATATAATAACTTTAGTTTAAGCATCAATGATTAATTGCCTAACGTAATACGCAACACAATTTTAGTTTCATCTACTTTTCAAATTATGATGTAAATAACGTAATGCTGACTGGCAAATCGTGAAATAAACAAGAATTACTAGTTTCGACAACGCGTAGTAAACATTGTGACATACATGTGTCAATTATTTAAAATTTAGTTCAGTCCATTATGGTTTGATGACGCCTTAAGCTCTAATGAAAGTCAAATTTGTATGAGCAATGTCGCTTTAAAGTAATGAACTGCAACTGGCTGATAGAGACGGTCAAAGCTCTTGAAACGTTCAAATTTGTGTAATATTGTAGACAATTAGAGGCCCGATTGTCTAATATTAAAATCTATCGCAATTTTCATTTTGACATTTGAAAGACATTGACGAACTTCACGCTACAACTATTTGACATGCGATCGCGACGTTTATTGATAATTCGATAACACATTGCTGTACCTTTGAAAAGGATTGCATTTGACTTTGATATTAGACAATTAGTCCACAGGTGTCAATCAATGCTGGTGTTTCCCAGGGTTCAGTTTTATTTGCGACGCCGTTTATTATCGCAGCAAACTAAGCAAAAATATATATATTCTTCATATATGTTTATATATGTAGCCTGAAACTCGGAAAAAATAGCTGTTTTATAACATGTAACTTCTTGTAGGTCAAAGAATTTTTTAAATCAGTCCTGTAGTTCGGAAATGATTAGTACAGATTACTTCATTGCCTATGTTTTACAATGTTTAAAATGTACTTAGAATCAATTTTAAATATGCAAGATAGCTAGCTAGCAAACTAGAATTATACGATCTAGATTTATTTTAATTTACCCAGATGTACGAGTATTAAGTCACATATCTATTCCGCGTCCGTGCCATAAATTCCGCATTCAAACGGGAGTTTTGTTTAACATTCTGTTTGTTCGCCAGCGAGCTTTTGTAAGGAAGGTCTGAGACAAATCGCTGAGAGAAAGCGCTTGGGCTCTTGGAATTGCAACATGAGCCGGCGGTCGAGCACGCTTCCTTGTGAGATTTCAATCCGTGTATCGGGAAATAAGCTAAAGATTTATTACTTTACGTAATACGTGACATTCAATTGAACGTATAAAATTCACTTCAATATTGCAGTGTATACCTATTATATGGGTGTTTCGCATCGGTAACATTTTATTAAAAAAAAAAAAATTATATCATTTTTAATTTCATTTCAATTAGGGAAGGAGATGCGAAGAATTTCGAATTGCGTGTGATTAAAATGTGACGTCACAAGTCAGTTTATTTCCGTTTTTGTGTAAATATTTATTTTATATCTCTATAAATCATGGAGCATTTTTTTATTGTAAATTTATATGACGTAAATTAAAAAATAAAGAAAAGAATAAAAGTAAGTCGCGGCGATGAAATTCAGTTAATAGACGTTTTACTTCACTATTGTATAGTTTATGTGTATCTGTGATCCCACAATACCCTGTAAAACGTTTTAGAAGCGTAAATAGAAACCATGTATAAAAGGGTATTGAAAATTATAATTCAGGATAATAGGGATGATGACTGGGTAAAAAAAAATGCAATCCTATTAAGTCCGTCAGTCAGATAATAGAAAAATATTAGATACATATTTTTTTTTACTTCAATTTAAAAAGAAATAGCTTAGATAACAGGCATTAAAGTTGAGGAGTGGGGGCTCGCTACGTCACAGTTGAGTAGAAAACGTACTCTAACGTGACGTCATGCGAAATTTCAACTCAATGTAACGCCGTAATTTTATGATTACGAAAAAAATAAAAAAATACGTGTTTAATATTTTTTAACACTCTACCTACCGGACAAACAAACAAAAAATAGTCATCATCCCTATTGGACGGTATTTATTTCCTTTTATCAATTTATATGAGGTCACTTGTTGTGTTGGCAAGTTAAATGTGAGCAAGAAGACACGGTCTTTCTTTACATTTTTCGCTTCCTCGACTTTTATCATAAATATTTTAAGAAGTTTTAAATTGAAATGTGTTTTACACAAAGTATTTTACGTCTTTTTATATTCGCAGTGACTTTATCTAGTCTTCGTGTCGAATTGTATCTAAAAATTACAATACACATTTCTATACATTCGTCTTTTCGTCCGTTTGTCATATACCTATATAGATGATTTATTCTTAAACTACCGGGCTTAATATTTTGTAAAATATACAGAAAATAGTTATTTACACATATCTTACTTAAAAGAAAGCCTTATTTAAAAAAATCATATTGTACTGAACACTCGGTGTGTAAGTCGCAATGCGTGATTTTTCTTTCAATAGTAAATCATTGGCCAGTGATCGTGGTGTGAAAGTGACATAATAATAACAAATCTTATGTGGTGAGAGCGAGATAGTAACATTAAAACTCAATGTTCATAAGAAGATATCGTCATTAGACTATTGCGTTATGATTTACGAACCGAAATTTTGCCATAACACGTTTGTGCTCTTGCGCAGCTTTAGACCTACTTCAATATTTTGTAACGAGTAACATCAATGATATTCCTAAACAGTGACATTAATGATTACACTACAGATAACTATAAATTAATGAATTGATCAATACATTTAAGCTTATTTCTGTTTTCATAATCTCTTTTAAGCATTGTTTAGATGTGTATTGCAATAACATATTTTTTAATGATTAAATAGATCAGATAACAGATCATCAGTTAATAAACTCATTTTAATTATTGCATGGGAGCGTTTTAATTATTCAACCGTTTCTCAAACTGTTTTACGCAAGATGAGATTGAAATGTAACTAATAACAGTATGCTTTTGTCTCACTTTAATAGACTCATTAAATCACTTACGTAACCTAAAAATAAAAAGGGTAAAAGCTAGATTAAATTCGTTCAGCATTGATAAGACCTACTGTAGAAAATGTAACGATTAAGTCTAGTAATTATAAATCCCTAATATAGTACCATTATTAGCGCAGGGGAAATGTTCCTTAAATTTTACTATATAGCGATTTTCTGATATGTAGAGGAAGTGCAGCATATTTGGAACATTTAGACAATATATATATACATATATGTTTTATTCCCGCAACATTACGTCACTAGACACATGGAGCCAGTGAGGTCTAAAAATGGGACATCATCTTGACTTGATTTAAAATGTAAAATGGAAATTTAGGTTAGGAAGTACTACTACATTCCAAATTACCTGCACCTTTTGGTTTTGAGTATAATTTTGTTAAGGTTTCTGTTTTTCGTGTTTTATTTTTGATATTTTTATTTATTATAATTTAATAATTTTCCTATAATATGATTCATTTTTATTCAGCTATCCGATTTCTTTTCCAAATTATGCCTAAAAAACTACGATTACGCTAATTAGACACAAACTGAGTTATTCTCTGAACATCTTTTATTTCTTTTATAATCAAGCATTCTTGCTGTCGTTACCGGAATCTTTTTGGAGTTGTTTAACTTTTGTTATAATATATTTTGTTATTATTTCTATTTTTTATGATAACATATATAACCAAGCAATAATCACTCATTTGGTGTTATTTTATCAGCTGTTGAAAGAGACATCAATATGTCTGAATTTGGACTCTATCCTATTCTATTTATATTTCTCAATCTCTCTTTTAACTTTCGTTGTCCTAATTTTAATTAGTATTTATACCCTTCCAAAATTATTTGCGTCTATCAAAATTATTAAAAATAACACACCAGCAAATTGAGGTTTAGACATTGTTTTTCTCATAAAGTAGCAAGCACTCTCGTTTAATCGGTTGAAGGCTATCGTTCATAAATCAGCACCGGCCTGTTTTGTTAAAAAGCCGTAATAATGTAAACGTAATGAAAACCGTCTACATTATTATCAGATCATACGTAACACGGGTCGTGGAAACTTGGGGGTCGCGGGACCAATGTGGAAACTTACGTAAGAGTTTATTCGCGTTAGCGATTGCGGTTTGCATATCATAGCTAGTCTATTAGGCTTGAAATATATGTGTATCATAATTTATTAATGTTGAATGGAATTTAGCCGTATTAATGTTGATACAAAGCGTTAAATTCAGAATGTCGTGCTGGTTATTGAAAAATTAACTGTTTAATTATACACATTAATCCACATTGTAGTGCTAGATATATCAAATTTACTTAATTTTTCTTATGGAACTGTTACTTTGTCGCCAATTGTATTCATCAGGTATATTATTTCTTATTATAATGCAATACACGATTATTGTTTAAATCTTAATAGTTTCGCAAAATCATGTAAACGGTTTCTTTATACAGCAAGTTAATGAAAGAGTTTTCTTCGCGATAATCTGTAACCTATTTGTAGTGTCAATATGATAGCTATTATATGTTATAAAAATACTTTATTCTGTAATATATTATTTAAATCCTATATATTCCATACATATAAGATTTGGTTCAAAACGCATTTGTATCTATCGGTATCAATTAATGTTTTAATTTTAAGAAAATTATTTAAAATAAAAACATCAAGTATTTTTAAATTTAGAGTTTCAAAGATAAGATTCAGAGTTAATTCACGTTATATACTATATAAAATATCATTTTTTCATTGTGATGTCTGGCTTCACAAGATTAATAAGAAATTTTAGAGTAATAACTGTACAGACTCAGTCCAATTCATCATCGCTTAGAGTGGGAACAAACACGCAACTCTAATGAGCTGTGTTTATTTCGTTCGTAATAGTAATCTTCAATTGCGATGGTACACGACATGCACATTACACCCGAAGTTATTCTCATAATAATACAATATATGTGAAAATTACGTATCATCCTGGCTATTGTAGTCTGAACACTTTCCTTTACATCTCTGCAGTTAATGTCCCATAATTTAGATAGTTTTTATGTCTAGAAATAAATGGAGAACAGAAAGGAAAATAAAGACCATTTTATTTCTTATAGGTTTATATTATAATCTAAGTAGTATATTTATGAATACCGAAACAAATGAAAATCTGTGATGTAACAATAAAAAAATTATATATAACTTTTTATTTTTCTCGATTTCAGATTTTGTTCTGCGTGGCGGTGGCGTCAACAACAGCCGAGCCGGATCCTAAAAAGTACAAGTCCGAAGTGAAAGATAAAGAAAAACTCGCAAATACAAGACTAACAGATGAAGAGCGTACATTTTTAAGAGAAGTCGAAGCTAAGTTCGGTATAAAATCTGAAGTTCCATTGGAAGAAGCTAAAAGTGATGACGATGAAAAAAACAATGGAACTTCTACAAGTAAAACTCCATTTCCGGCAGTAATAGCAATTGAGATTGTCAATGATACCGATACGAGTGCAAAAGGCAAAAGAACTATCGATGCCAACTTAGGTTATGGTTACAGAACAAATAAAGGCTACACTTACACATATTTTGGAAAACAGCCACAGGATAAAGGAAAATTTATGATATACCCATATTCTCAAGAAGATATCCCTCCATCACATTCTACTACATACAATTCTGATTATTCTCAGTCAGGGAAATATACAACAGCTTCTTCACAAGTAGAGATTCAACCATCTCGAGCTTACGAGCTTGTAGACGTGAAAGAAGAACACAATTCTTACCAAAACTCAAGGCCTAATTCTAATTATGAAAACATCAGAGGATTGGTTTCTCCGCCGCCTTCATACTCTTCGAGTCCATTACATCATGAAACGTCGCACAATGCCAATCCAACTTTCTATACTACTTATAATGGACAAAAGTTTTCAGGACTGAGTGGTCAATTTCCTATGGTTATGTCGAACTACTTGGTTGAACCATCACAGTTGCTTAAAAACCCCCAATATCAGAGTGCTGGACTAAATCAAGAGTATCTCCAGAATCATGGGTCTCATTTAGAGCAACGAATTGTGCCAGTTTTAGTATTAAGAGTCCCGAGTTCATATCTTAAAAAACCTACAGCTGAACTTTATTCTGGTGCTAACAATTACCCTGTTTCAAATTATTTGAATAATGTTAATTTACAGGAGATAGTTAACAGTTATTTCAAAAAAATTGGTTACACATTTGCACCTCAAGTTACTTATCAGAATCCAACTGCATCGCATCCTGTTACCACTCCTATTGCTTCTTCAGCGCACAATAGTGGGCCCCAAAACTATGCTACTACTTATATGCATCCATCATATACTCAATCGGATTACTCTGGAGTTCAATATTCGGCAGTCCAACCAGTGATGGCCAAATACCCTACCAGTTATTCGCACCAACATTATTATGATCCAATGAGCCAATTAGTTTATCAGCAGCCTGAGCAACAATATGAATATACATACAAATATGTACCACAGTCTGAAGGTCAGTCACAATCCTATTATGTTCAACCACAATATCAAACGAATGAAGAAGCTGCAACTCAATCAAATGTTCAGAGTGAACATTCAACTGGAGAGCAAGAAACTACCAACAATTCGGGCAACGAAGCTGAATATAGTGTACCGCAAAGTGTTGCTTACGAAAGTGGTGCGCCTACAGTTGAATATGGTACTCCTGAAACACAAGCATCACACATTGCTGCTGACCAGCAAACAGAATATGAATCATCGCAAACAGTTAGTCAAGAATATGGAACTCCTAAAGAACAGAGTATTGAATATACGCCACAGAAAACTCTTTCAACAGAGTATGGGCCAGCAAAAATATCTCTGCCAGTATACAATTCACCTCAAGCTACAAGACCACAATATGGATTACCTAAATATACGATACCTAAAGAAACCCTCGCTGCTTATCAAGCTCAACTAAGCCAAAGTGAACCTAAGTACAGCTACAGTGCTTCAAATGCTGGAGCACAGAACTACTATTATCCAAAACAAGTTACTGACGAAGCAAGCAACAATTTAGCACTATCTGAAAATTATCCAAGTAAAGATCATACACTTGCAACGGTGTTGCCAGTCAGCTACAAACATGACAGAAAGCCTGCGAGTGTACAGACGATTAGTTACGTTACTCCTGTTCCTCATAAGTACCAATCACCATACAAAATAATGGTGCCACAGACTTTTCTCAAGAATCCAGCAACCGAAAAGGTGTCATATGTCAATTCACACTCACTTCCTTATAGCAAATCCGTGAATCAAGAATATAATCCAGAGGTTGAATATACTGTACCTAGTCATTACAATCCACCAGTGGGCAAACAAAAGCCACCAAGTTATCCAAGGAATTACCACACTCATCCTAAACGTAACGTAAAATCAGATAGCAGACCGGAGAATAATTCAACGCCACTTAAAAAGCAATCAGAATCAAACGATAAAAAGAAGAAATCTAATTAGATTACCTAAACTTTAAGTTGACACTTATGAGTTAAGAAACTGTAAATATAGGCTAAGATATTGTTTGAAAATATTTTGGATATAAGATTTTAAAAATAAAACTCATTCTTTCTCAGAAGCAATGGCTTACAAGTGGCCAGAAAAGGTGTTAAATTTTGTTATATTAATTAAGTTTGTTAAGTTATTTATTATGTTTGAAACTTTTTTACAAAAAGATGCCAATTATTATTAGTACCCAGCAGTACAATCGCCTTTAACGAATATTGTTGCGACATACCAGGGGTACATTTCATATGTTTTTGTGGAAAATTAATCAAAAGAAGGGCAGAATAGCAACCACATATGGTTCACCAATTTAATATTTGGTCATTCCAAAACGACCTACGTGTCACTTAGTATATGATTATTTTTATGAATAGTATTCACTGTGTGTATACGCAAATGTTTATCTCATTATATAACATGGCTGTATAAAAGTGCAATAATTATGTTAATTTATGATTGTAAGTCGTCAACAAAGTGTTATTTTTCAATAAAATATAATTTACATTTATTTTGTCGCATTATTTTCTATTATAAGTACATACAATTGCCCAACATACAAGATATAAGTTTTTATGAAACATTCTTAGTTAATAAGAAATATACAGGAAATATTTCTTATAATCAATGTACAATCATGTTAATATTGTTTTTGCTCTTGTAAATGTAAAAGATGTACAATATTAAATTTACACTTATAATGCTTATGAATACAATTGTAAAAAACGTTCTACAATACGGCTGAATTAAGAAGGTTCACCGACTAATTATATAATGTAGTGGATGTTTTATATAAAACTCAAAAATTCCTTGTAACGATATATAATTGATACAAATACAGGACTAATAAAAAAGATGCAAAGCGCTTATTCCCGACTGGGTGTAAATTTTTTATATGATCCACTACAGAAAACTAACTTACATACATATCCATAACGCAAGTGAGTTAAGATTTAAGATTATAGTTTCATAAAAATTCGTAATACTTTAAGGCGGCCACAGCGCCATCTATCGAAAGCAGAGTAAGCAATGTATTTGACTGCGATTATTTTATTTTTAGTATGTTTATTCTGTAGGTCACGTGATAGGTTAGAAATTTAAAACGATCGCGCAGAGTAGCGCATCGAGGCTTTCAAATCAGCCGTCTTGTTGAACGGTCCAAAAATCAATTCAACTCGAAAACTAGGCGTGCAATTAAATGGTAATCTAATTAAATGTACAGCCGCCCAATTGAATGGATGTTTTAACCAGTTGGCTGCGACATGTACATAGTTATACTATAGAAACTATTCTGTGTTAAAGCTGAAAGAAACTAGAACAATTACATATCTATGATGCCATAATATTAATTCACTAACTACGTATAATAATATTGAATACATCTGATCTATTCCGATGATATACTACTTAATTATTGAATTGACACTGAAAATTGCGATATTACCTGAGTAACGATACATACATGATTAAGCTCTATTAATTCTTGTTGGGTGAATGAGAAACATCAATTTCACTGTCCAATAAGCAAGAAGTTATGGTTATCCATTTAGCAATTCTTATCTTATTGCATAAAGAAATAACAAAAAAACCTTACGCTGACATGTTAGGGAACTTATTAGCTATCGTAAGACATAAAATGATATTTAATATTAATCCTAACCTAATAGGTAGTTAGGTAATTATTAATATAGGTAGGTACTCTTGTTTTGGAAATCTTAATTCCCAATTTATTTAAAGTATTTTTTTAGATTATGTTCTAAAACGATAATCGATGCTTATGATTTAAGTAGATATTTTTTTTATATAAACAAGAATTTGAAAGCAGCCTAAGTTACTCCTTATTACATAAGCTATCTGCTCGTGAAAGTCCCTGTAAAATTGGTCGAGCCATTTTAGAGATAAGCCGGAACAAACAGACAGACAAAAAGTGTAAAAATGATATTTTGTTTAATGTACCGTATACACATACATATGCATTTAGTAAAAAGTGGTTAATTTAATGTTACAAACAGACACTCCAATTTTACTTCAATAAAATTGTCGTTTATTGAAAAATTTAACACATATTCACGTATTACAAAGAACTATTGAAAAATGAATAAATTTGTGAAATGTATAAATAATAATTACTTAGACTCAACTAATTACCTACTTCTGCCCTACTAAATATAAATGTTAAAAACGTCACGAAATTAGGAAAAATCAGTTGATTTACGAAATAACAGAAAGTTTTTAAAAGGCAATTACAATTTTATTCTTGTTAAAATGCATTATTATTATAGTAGGCGTTCTAAGTCAGCTTTTTTAATAAGTTATTGTGTTTGTTAAATTATGTTTACCATTGTATATTCTCACATTTACCGTGTTTAGAGTATATTTTGTAATTAGGCAACAGAAACAAAACATGAATGATAGTTATAAGATAAAATATAATATTTCTTATAATTATTTAAAATAAACGTCTATACCTTATTTTTTGAACTAAAAGCTCCGAGAGAGCTTATTCGCGTAAAATAATATTTGCTCTATTGTTTTTATAGGCACAACTAATCTGTAACGTGGCGGTGGCGGTGTTCGAATTTGAGTCTTTTTATTAAATTTTAAGTTTATGGTCATGTACATATATATTTCGTCTCTCTGTATATTAATGAAAACTGCACTTAAATCCATTATGTAGTTTAAAAGATCAATGGCTGAATTTGTATTTAGAATGTTTTTTTGTCTATACTATTATGTCTATTTTATATGTCTATGAATTTTTTATTCTAATAATATTATAAAGGTAAAATTTTGCTGTGTTTGTCGTTTGTTACTCTTTCAAGCAAAAACTACTCAGCTGATTTGATGATATTTTATATACGGAATAATTTAAGCTTGAATTAGTATATAGGTTACTTTTAATTTCACTAAACGGTTCCCTAGGAACCTCGCGGGGGAAACTGATGGCGGAAAGCCTGTATATTATTTACATCCTTTTGGCATTATTTAATAAGGTGATTAAAGTCTATGTTATAGTAAGGCCAACTTTAAAAAATTTCGTGCTGAATTGCTGCTGTTTCTTTTTGTACTTTACTCGCACATGGATAACACGGCGTGTTTATCTGTGTTATACATGTGTGAGTAAAGCTTGAACAGGAACATAAATATTTTAGCACGATATTTAAAAAAGCGGGCTTCGAAGCAAAGCGGGCTTTAATTGCCGCACCTAGAATAAAATTGTATTTTAATATAATGCTGATTAATGTTTTTATATAATAGTCAAAATATATATGTAATGAAAAGGAAGTAACGCAAGGGCCGGTCATAGGATGGGTGGCCAAAAATGTATTATCTCGAGTTCCTGAGTGTTTCAGAAGGCTCGTTTAGCTGTTGGTCTCGGCTACATCATCATCATCATTATCACCAACCCTGTACGTCCCCACTGCAGGGGCTCAGCCCTTCCTTATGGATGGTTAAGGAGGATAGGCCATGACCCTCCACGCTGGCCCAATGCGGGTTAGAGGGTATTAACGACTGCAAATGCAGCTGGGACCATCGGCTTGACGAGCCTTCCGAAGCACGGAGTAGCTCGAGATAATAATTTTTTGGTCACCCATTTCGTGACCGATCCTTGCGAAAGTTGCTTAACGACTACGATCGCGGGCCGCGGCGCTTATTCACTACGCCACCGAGCTACTCGGCTACATCAGCAGTCATTAATATCTACCCACCCGCGATCTAATATTGATCCCATTCATAAGGAAGGTCTAAGCCTTAGTAGCATCATGGACTGGGACATAATAGGCTAGTGATAAATATAACTCTAAAATTTATTGATAAGAGCCTTATAAAGATATCAAACGCAACAGGAACATAATTAGTTGCACCGTGTCGCGTCCTGTGTTGCGCAACTCATTGGACGACTCACGATTTCCTCACGTTTTTCCGCTAGTTCTCAGCGTACACACGGACATGAAGAAAGACGAACGTGTGTTTATTTTGTCTTGACATCCTTAACTTATTCTGGGAATAAGTATACGTCTTCTCAATGTCGAGAAACATGGGAAAAATAGGTTTTCAATTGTAAATAATATATTAAACCAGAACACTTAACAATTTTAGATATAAACCTATGAGTAAATTTGCATTTACGAATTCACCAATGACTGACATCGAAGTTCACTATTATTATGATAAAATTTTAATTTGTGCATAAATTTATTTCCCATTGTTTTTTGCGCCATCTTTCACGAAGATGGGAGAGATGATATGCGTTACTGTAGGTAAGTCAATGTAGTGATTTCATATGTTTTTGTTTTGTAAATCAGTTTCCTCTGATAAGAAAAAATAGATAAGTTGTCTGTAGTACAATTTATCAAAATAAATTACACTTAATATTAAGTAATAAAAACTATTATAAAAATGTTGTTCGTATTTTATTTTTCTTTTTTATATAAATTTAGCTATAGTAATAATAATAATGAGAAAAGATTTGATTGTTTGTTTGCATTAAATAGGCTCTGAAACTACTGGACCTATTTTAAAAATTATTTCACCTATGGGAACATCGTATGCAGATGACATATACTATAATTTACGCAGGAAAAAGGCTAGTACGTAATTAATGCAGAGTAACATTTTACTTTCTTTCATTAAACGATAGTACAAAAAGATTTTCCACTACATTCTATTGAACAGTGTGTGTGATACCCATAATGATAGACTACAAGTGAAGCTTGGCCTTTCCTGATCCCCAACCGGTATAGGGTTGGTGCGGAAAAATGCGGAAATGTGGTGAGAGAGAAAGCCACTACTACTGTCCCACCTTACGATCAGTACTACACCTCCCTTAGGGCTGCTCGCATCGACAAAAGTAATGTTTTTCTTATTGCGTTACTAATGTTGCTAGATTAGTATTTTTTAATCCTCTCAGAATGTATAGCGCCTTATCCATGAGTTCATCATCAGCCCTTTTTCCC